GTGGGGAATTGAACTCCCAACCTCTGGCTCTGCAGCCAGAGCTATCCAGCCAGCTACAAAATGTAAACAACCCTGAAATCTAACGTGAACTTTGTGTTGATGAAGCCCCAAGCAACCAATTATTTAGGAAACTTCAGGCAGTAATCTGAAGGAAGAAGAAGAGAACTTCTAGTCTCACTGTGAGTGAGCTTTGGCCATCAAACAGGAAAAACATCTGGAGCATTAGTAGAATTATTTATATAGCCATTGACTCTGTGGTAGAGTTTAGGGATCTAATGAAGTAAACAAATACAGTGTTCATAAAACAGATTTTTAAAGTATCATAAAAGATTTAGAAACATTGGGAAATAATATACTACATGTCAAAAAAAGAGGATTAAAAGTGAGTTACCTTTATTTAGCAGGAACAAAATAATTTTGTGTTTCCTACATTCAGGACTGTAAGTGAGGTTCTCTGAGTTGTGTTGGTATGTCATACCAGAAATAAAACTAGGTTAATTTTGAGCTCACGTGCTACCCCTGTTACTCAGCTGCTGTGGCCATGAGGAGAAACCACAGCTCGTTATATTGTCTGAACCTGAGAAAATGTGGTCAGTCTTAGCTATGTTTTGTCTGAAACAAGAAAACATCAAGCAAGAACTGTTGGATAGTTCAGTGGTTTAGCTATCTGGCTGTGGAGCCAGAAATTGGAAGTTCGATTCCCCACTGTGTCTCCTTGGCAGGAGCTGATACATGAAGTTCTAAGATGATGACAACAATACCATAGGTTACAAAGCTGGTTTGTTTCAACAAGCAGATCAATCGTGATTAGCTGAAACAAAACTTTGCCCTCTTTCTCACAGCTGCACTCGAATAAGGAATCTTCTATGCTGGAGTGATCCCAACATAGAAGGATGATCAATCTTTTTTCCTACTAGGGACATGGGGTGATGGGCAGTGCGTCAGGAGTCATGTGTCACCAGTGGATGTAGCTGAAATTGTATGTGACTGAATGTGGTCAGGGTAACTGTCCATCTGTTTTCACATACACCTATCAAATCTGCATATCACAACTTCAGTTCCTCTTCTCATATGTATATATACATCATATATGATATAAATCTCCACCATCTGTTCTGAACAGCTGACTGAAAGGTTGGCAAGAGGAGCGGAAATATCGGCATCTTAGATAAACCATGTTCAGGGCTTGTGAGGGGCTGCTACTGATCTGCAATCTAGCTGCAAATCCCAAATAAGTCCATGTAAGAATATTGCAACACCATGTAGGCAATCAGGTCCAACTACATGATAATGTTAGTAAGGTCTAATATAAACAAATTGCTGTCATGTTGACTAGCCCACAGTTGCTTGCTGCCAGCTTTATTGTAGTGATGTCAAGAGATCAATTAATATTTTTGCATTTTGAACAGCATCTGAAAAATTATCAAAAGATGATCCTTGTGACATTCCATCCAGTGTTGCCTGTTGGTTTCCCCCAAACTAAGGTTCACTTTGGCGACGTTTTCTCTTTCATTCACTGCCACCAGTGGATATCCTTATCCACACTTGTACAATACTTGAATCAGACACCTGCTGCCAACATAACTTGTTTATTTAGATTAAATTTTAATCACAGATGTTCTTTTTAATCATTGTATAGAATCACTCATTAAAACTTCTTATCTTGGGTCACACATTCAATTCTTCATTTGTTTTATTGATCTGTTCACTTTAACCAACTTATTAATAATATCAGTTCTCTCAAGTTCTCTGACTATCTATTTTGACTATTCAATTTCTCTCCTCCACACACTCATTCCCTCTTTCACCTTCTCTCTCTTTCTAATTCTAACTCCCTCTAACTGCCTCTGTCTCCCTGACTCCGCCCCTCCTGTCCTCTCATAGGCTCCTGCATTTGAGCTTCAGCTATGATTGACATGAGTGATGTGGGCATTTCGTCACAATCCTCTTTTTTTATGCTGGTGTCAGAAGCAGTCATGAAAAAGTGTCCCCTATCTGTTCTCCACTGTTGAGATCTTTATATGGGATCAGTTACAAATTAGATTGTTAGAAAAATCAGTTCCTGGAATTTCCTGATTACAGCAGTAAATTTTATTATTGGCAAATGCTGGTTTTAAAATCTTACTATGGAGAACTTGGGTAGTTGGCTGCAAGAAAAAGCCTAGCCATTTATTGGCAGTTCAGGTTCAAGGAAAGGAAAGCAGACTGCCTGGATGCTGCATTTATTGAGTCTGATGTAAAATGTCAAGGGGAGAGACTTTGCAGCTGAATCGTAAATTATTGCTAGCCTTGCGTAATCTTATGGTAAGAGCAGAGATGATGGATTGAAAAACAGAGATACAGATATGGTTCTTCTGAAACTTCAGATGATGTTCAAGGAATTTCTTGTTGAAGAAGAACAAAAAATAAACTTGCTTGTATACTGGGCAAATAAGAAGTTATTTCCAGAGACTAAAAAATGTTAACCCTTTTTTGGGTAACATTTCCAGTCACTGGAAATCTCAGAATCTCAATGCAAGCATTGATCACATTCCAACTCTTTGGCATTTTTTTGGTATAGCTAGTACTGAAACAAGTCTCTCAATATGGCACTTATCTATTCTAAGTGCTACAAATGTAACTAATTTTGAAGAGGGGAACACTGTACCAATAGGAAGGACAGCAGTAAAACATGCAAGGTTTCCTGTGTAAATTCAGATTCACCAGTGCAATTGCCAGGGTCATTCAGAAGAGGGCACAAGCCAGATTAGTTGCTCTGGAATTTCTAGGAGACATGGTATCACTCTGATCCTTAATCATCCATCCTTAACTGTGTAGTGGCTTCAGACAAATCTGGAATTACTAATTGAAATGGCCTGGTTTGGACCGATTTGTATGAGATTCAAATGGAAGTGGAATGGCTAGTTTGTGTCCGGAACACAAATTGAATTGGACAGGCCATACATCGCTTCAGTCTTTTGTTTTTGGAAAAAAAGCAACCTTTACATATGCCAGTATGCTAGCTGATTTGTCTAGAATTTGGCTGGTTTATTTGGCTGTTTAGGGTCTATAACATCTCTGAATGCTATGAAAATCAGTGGAAGAGCTTCTGCTCTAAGTTATGGCCATTTTGCTTTTCTAATGAGCATCAATCGGACACTTACAAATTAAAATGGATTTCTGGCAGCAAATATTCCAGAGGAAATTAGGACAGATTCTAAAGCCTCAAATTGGCCTCCAGTTTGAAACAGGAGGCTAGTGCAGAGCTCTATTAACTGTCCTTGGGTTAAATCATACCCAACAGAGAATGCATGGTTAAAAGTTCATAAAAATGTCAACCGTCTGGTGGCTGACATGGAATGGAATGACCAATCACCAAACAATTAATCAAACAAACAAAAAAAGCTAATTTGTTAGGCCAGCAGGCAAGAAATTTTGTGCTACAATGGATATATCTTTCAAGCACATAAAGGGTGTCTCATTCTAATGATGTGTTCATTGCAGTATGTATCTTGACCCTGAATTAGCCTGAGTATGTGTATACAGATAGTGGTGCTAGAGTGAGAGGAATGGTGTATATTATCTATCACTTGGTAACTGAAGGGTTCTTTGGATCAGGTGGGTCAAATTGCAGTGCCTTTTGGATCAGATCTAAGTGAAATGCCTACTACTAAATTTGTCTGGAATATTATCTGGAAAAAGCAAACCTTACAATCAAACTCAGCTGCTGGAGGAATCTTCTGATTGCATTACTCCCAGATGAAGCTTATCACCCACATGTTGGAGGAAGTACAGTATAATAAGGAGGGGTTCTCTTAACATCTGTGGTGGTCATATAAAGTGTCTAAAGGCATTTGATTTTTGGGTTTTTAGTGTCATCTAGCAACATCTGGTATTGTAGTCCAGCAACATCTGGGTTGCCACAGTTGCTAACCCCTGGTGTGGAAGGAAAATTAAACCACTCAGAAATTGCAAAATAAATACTCCAAATGTAAAATTGCAATATATTTCTTGGTAATAACAGATAGGTAGCTAAACAGATATAGTAGAAACAGAGCTAGTAAAAGTTGCTTTTTGGATTGCAATATTGGCTGGGGAATAGTCACTAAAAAAAGTAACTCTTTCAATCTCTGGCTATAAAAGCAGTTATGTAGATATGTCAGGACCATAAGCAACACTGGTGAGTTTCAGTGTGTCATCCACTTGTTGAAAGCACAAGTTATTGCCAGGACAAAAAGAAAAAAAAAGAAAAAAAAAGAAAAAAGGGGGAATTATGGAAATCCTACCTGTTTCCTAAAGACTAGCAATTATGTTGCTATAAAAATCTAATCTATGAGTCAGGTCCTCACAGGCACTTTGGTACACCAGCTGTTTCTCTCCTAGTTTTGAACAAAAGATATTGGAAATAAAAGATATTTATTTTGTTTGGGGCTTTCCCACAGTCTATTTTTAAATAATACGTTTTGACGAATTGCACTGGCTGAGATGCTCAGAAGAACACTCAATTTGCTTTTGCTGTGTGTACATGTTAAATGCTGTAGGGCCAGTTGGCTGTGGTACTCAAGTGTACTTGGCTAAACTGTCTTAGGGTGCTTTGTGCCTCTCCAAGTGTTGTTGGACTGTAACTCCCATGATCACTTGCCCTTTCCTATGATGCCTAGGATTGCTGGGAATTGCAGTCTAGGGCCACACGTTGCCATCCCTTTTATAGGGATTTGGATGTTGAATTGGAAAGTGCAGTGTCAGCTTCTGCCTCTCTTCCTTGGCAGCTCAAAAGGACATGACTAGAGTGAAGTTAGGTGCTGCCTGCAACCTGTGGCTTTGTCTCAGATTGTCTGAGTACTGATTCTGTCTTTAAGGTTTTTTCTATTCCTGAGATTGTGGTTGCAGCTGAATGAAATGCACATGCAAAGGCAAAGATACTGTGAAAAAGCAGCAGGCTCACTGAGAAATCACAAGGCTAATGAAAAAGAAGCATAATTCTGTTTTTATTGTTTCTATCATCATTATACTTTGTAATATCACCCCGCGCCCCATTGATATACTTTCAATAGGATTTCCCTGATGAAGCTCACAGGGGGCCAGAAGTAGCCAACAGCCTTTGGTTCTGCTAATGTTTTCATTAATAATGTTCCCTGAGAGCAGTTGAAAAATGATGCCCCAATTTCTCTTCCTTACACTGGGACAGAATTAAGTGCCAACCCCACAGTATCTGGAGTAGGTGCGAGAACTATGTAAAACTGTTCATTGGTTTGAGGGTTTGGGAGGGGAGCTTAAAGTAGTGTTCATGGGGTACTGATATACTTGTCAACTCCCATTATTCACCTTGTTGCCTATTCAATACTTGATAGACACCATCACTTTCCCAAACATATGATCATAGAACATAGGAAGCTGTTTTATACTGAGTCAGACTGTTGGTCCTGGTATTGTCATTTCTGACCTTCAATGGCTCTCCAGGTTTTCAGGTAAGATTCTTTGCTAGCTCTGCTTTGAGATCCGCAGTATTTCCTGGTCAGGTCCCAGGCTCAGTCCTGCTTAGCTCAGATATGATTGGGTCTATTTGGTACACTGGTTGCTTTCTGTGTCAACTTTAAAAAATTTGACCAGAATCCTAATACTTATGCCACTGTAAGTAATATGGCCTAAATATCAATGGTGAATTGCTGCTACTTAAGAAGTAGACTGTTGCGCCAAGTCATGCAACTGAAACAGGAATACAAGTGTCAACATCTTAAGTAGTGGCAACTAAAATGCTTAGAATTGTTTGTCTTATGCCATCATACATAAGTAATAGAATTTTGGCTATGGTAGACTATTTGTTTCTGAAATCATGTAGACAATCTAGTCAATCAGGATCATGTAGGGATTTGTTATTACTTTTTGGACTGAAGCTCCCAGCTAGAATTGCCACTAATTGGTAGTTACAGTTTTAAAAGTAAGTTTTTCTAGCTCTATAGACTATATGCAGTCACTGAAAAGCTGCTAGGGAAGCAGAAAGCTTTCTAGGGAAGCAGAAAGCTGCTTTGTACCAAGTCAGACTATTAGTCCATCACAATCAATGCTATCTACTCCACACTGACAAGCAACATTCTCTAGGGTTTCAGACAAACAGTGTTTTCTATCCTGACATGGGGATGCCAGGGTCTGAAGCTGGAATCTTTTATATGCAAAGTACATAAGCATAAGATTTTGATGCCTTCCCCATCTCTCAGGGTCTTCTTTTGGTGACTCAAAGGGCTGAAAATGATGGACATGTGCTCAATACTGTGTGGGTAAGACAAACATATGGGCAGGCTGCTGAGTAAATGCACTGATGCTTCTTGTGTTGCTACACGGTACTTTAGAAAAGGAAGTACCCCAGTGAGATATGGTACAAGATGAACATGGGCCAGCTGTATCAGCAATAGGGTTGCCACAACTCATTCCCCCATTCAGTTGAAGGGCTTAGCAATTCTTCAGTTTTCAGAGATGTTTGCTGTATGGCACCATGACCATTTCCATCCACCCTCATCATCTTGAATTGGCAGGGAGCTTACCGAAGGAAAGAAAACAAAAGAAAGATATTGTGCTGAAGTAAGAGCAAAAAGTGGAAACAGTTATTGTGCAGAATTGTGAACAATCATTTAAAGACAGGATTAAACGTGTGTGTGTCAGGGGAAAGCTTGAAGGAATCCCCTCAAAAACATGACCCTTGGCCTCAAAATGTCTGCATTTGGAAATGTTCACCAGTAATGTCCCCCTTGGCATAGTTTTAAATATCTGGCCTATATCCTCTTTTAATTTGGTTCTTTATTTTTTAAGGGAAGAAATTGGCTTTTCACTAAGCTAAATCACCAAAGCCAAGTTTTAACACAGCATTACATCAAGCTGTTTACAGACCCTAGGGAAACAGCCAATCTGTATGGGCAAATTATCAGGAAAGAGAAGATGTGTTAGCTGAGAAAGGGGTGGAAAACCATTTTAGTTCTTTCTTGTCTTTCCCAGTAACAGTGTTGTTAGAGTTCCTGATCTACAGATTAAGTATTCTAGGAAACACTTTTTCTAGCCACCCTGGATTTTTCCAGTCTCATGACACAAACACACTCTAAATCTCACATTTGGTACTCATTTCTAATGGAGGACCATTTGTTTTTCCTCAACTTTCCTGAAAGATTAGAGAGCACAGTTCCCATTTTGCTCCTCAGACATAGCTGAAACACAGAATGATGAAGTAACATGAAATTGTTACTATTGAGCATAGATAATAGTATGTTGTAGTGGATATAGTCCTGGGTTTGAATCCCTGCTCAACCATGGAAATTTACTGGGGTTATGGAACTGGTAAAACCACTCCTTAAACATATCACTTACCTTGAAAGCCCTATTAGGGTCATTATAAATTGGGTCTGAGTTGATGGCACATAACAACAAGCCCTAATATCAGACTTGCTGGAAGCCGCTTTTTCAGACATCTTTCTGTATTCCCATGCTTGCTGGGTTAATTGCAAGGCACACTGGGTACATCTCTCTGGCACTGCATAGTTTGAGGTCACATTGTTTAGTAGCCCAAACACACCTTAGTAAGCAAACAGCACATTGCTAATGCACTTCAAATAATTCTTCCACAGTGCTGTTATTGTTGTTTCTGTAGCAACAGTTGGCCGCAGTTGGTGCTTAGTTAGCCAGAATAATGGCTGGATAGTTCAGTTGTTTAGGTCTCTGGTCACAGAGACAGAGATTGAGAGTTCGATTCCCCACTGTGACTTCTTGGCAGGGGCTGGCCTTGATGATCCACCGGGTCACTTTCAGCTCTGCAGTTCTAGGATTCCAAGATTCTAAGATTCCAAGGGCAACAAAATCTACAGTGAAGGAAAGCACAATATAAATGTTTCCTCTACTATTTATATAGTATATTGAACTCAGTTCTAAGATAGTTCAATCTGGTTTGCTGTAGTATTTAAAGACAGCATGTGAAAGCATTCAGAGCAAAATGGCCCCATCTGCCTATACTGAAGGAAGATTATAAATTATGTGACATGACTCCAAGACATCTACACCACATGGAGAGTTTGGCAGCAGAACAGAGGGCTTGGGGCCTTATAATAGCTTGGTTTGAGTTCTTGTCCATTCAAGTAACAACTATTTGCATAGCTAGGTCCCTTATACCAGTGTACTTCTCTCTTCAGTTTCACAGGGCTAATGAATGTTT